CTATTGTCTCTAAATGCATCCACTCCACACACACCAGGAGGTTTCTCCTTTAGAGCAGGTACTCCTCGGTGCCTTGATTGGCAGCATAGAGTGAGTGAGGGCGCAGTTGGTATTTGAATGAACATCCTAACGAATGGCTTATTGACCATTTGACTACTTTTCAGTATTTGTCAACATACAGTTGAATAGACTTAGAGTTAGGAGTATGTTGCACATGCCAAAGAGCAATTAAATTGGCTATGAAGGGCAGTGCCTACGGTCCTAATTCTAATGGCGTGGGACTTTGTTTTTCCCAGTGGGTTTTCTGAATGTTCTTCAGCACTTTCTTGGGTGGAGCTACTTGTACTCTTAGGAGTATTAACGTAACAGAGCAGTGACTTGAAATTTTTGTGCTTTCCAAGATGGAAGTGACCATTTCTAATACCATCTGCTCTTCATCTGCTTTTGAGAAAGTAGTAGACTTGCAGTGCAGAAGACCACAAATACTGAGTATAAGTAATAAAAAGGAAAATACCTCCCAAACTCTTAATACCAGTTGTCTCCATAGGCTTTCAGGTGATTTTCACTTTCTATCTTGCATAGACCTTTAATGTTTGAATTTTGCACAATAAACAACATAACCATTTTTTTAAAAGTGAGAAGTTCAACTCTCATTTATAAACACAGGTGCAGGAATAGATGGCCTTTGGTTATTCTGACCCCAAACCCAACCCCTCTGCCCCCAAGGATATAGAAGTTAGCAGAAGACTGTGTTTATGTGAACAACAGCACAAAAAGCAATGCTTTGGGGGGGGCAGGGGGAGGTCATGATTTCAGTGGTCAGCGAATGCGACAGTCATTGACAACCAAACTTTGCAAACACCCCTTAGAGATGATACTGGCCCCCCTGACAACAACCGCTGCCCTGTGTGGAGAATAGTGAAGGACTGCACACTTGGTATTTGTAGGGATAGAAAGATTCAGAAAATAGGGTTGACTAAGATTGTGAACTGATTATGTATGGAAGAGTTAACACATAAAGAGTCTAGTATAATGACCAAAAATTTGTGATGGGGTGAGCACTGGATCCCTTCATTCTGAAAGGGAACATAGAAGCAGGGCTTGGGGGTGAAGTTTGAGTTCCCTTGAGGGCATCTATAAGGAGTAGTAGTTGGAAATGCAGGCTCATTGGCTGGGGCAGGAAATAGATTTCAAGCTGCTGAAACCATAGGTAGATGAGATCTCTCAGAGAATATAGGGTAAAAAGGCAGCCAAGGGTGGAACCTTGAAGGACATGAAGATGAGTCATTGAATTAAATGCAGAGAGAGCATTTGGAGAGTCAGGAAGACAATTAGAGGTGAGCAGTGCATGAGAGCTAAGAGGTGTGCAGTGCTGAATAGTCACGCAAATTCCTTCATGCCAACTTAGCGTGCAATTCTGTAAATGTCTATTTCAGTGTAAAAGTAGTATGTTAAATTACTCTCCGCCCCTGCCTCCCCACGCACCCCTCAGATTTTCAAGTTAAATTTGCCCCACAAGACGTCTTTTTCATTGGGATTCAAGCATACAGTACTGATTATCTCAAGGAGCAAGCATGCTTATGTCCAGTTTGAAAAACGTAGGTGTGGGTTTCCAAGCCAGCCCTCTTTAGAATCCTAACAGTGGCTGGCTTTCTCCCAGCTGCGTTAATAATTTTGGATCGGTCCAAGAAGTCCTGCTGAGGTGTATTATGAACCAATTTGGGGTAGGGGGTCGATAGGAGAGGGGAAATTAGTTGTATTTGAAAGCTAGATGAATTTTTTCATTTATAATAATGCATTTTTGTCCATTTTCTAAATTAACTTCAGTTATGTCCAAAACATAGTTTGGGCAGTTTTCAAACACCATTATGGAAAATATTTGAACATACAGAAAGGTTGAGTACAAATTAGCTCTATCGTTCCGTTGTCTTATGGAGAGTACTTTTTATGTAGTAATGATGGATTGTTTTATATTAACCACTGATTTCTTTAAATTTAGGTTTTATGTTCATCAAAGTTATACATGTGTATAATTAATTGAAGGAGACAAATAGTTACAAAAATGGCTTGTAAGAAAAAAAATACCAGCTTGCCCTTTTTCTTCACCCCAGAAGTGTACACTTTCAACTCTGGACTGTTTTTGGTACCGGTCTCTGCAGCTCTAAGGCGTGTACTTTCACGACACACCCGTCATTTCACCTTGTGACACCTAACATTTGCTTCCGGTTGCTTCTGTTTTCCTTTATTACACCGGTAAATTCAGTAACAGTCAACACTCAGTAGCTCTGTGCATATTAATCTAACATGTTTATGAAGAGCTTTATTTCTTAAAGCTTTACCCTTACACTTTTAAGTTCTAGGCACCTGTATTGTTGCCTGCTTGGTCATCACTTAGTAGCCACTCATTAATTTCGAACTTCCCAGTGTTGTCAGTTATTTTTAAAGTTGTATGTATCACTGAGTGGCGTACATTAGCATAAGATGTTTAAGCTTACTACAACAGCAAACTTAGACATAAGAACCAGATTCTAAGGCAGAAGTTTTAGGGAATGTTATTTCCCTGCCTTTGTCCTGCACAATCTTTACAGTTGAGTTGTGTAAGAATTGGTGAATTGAAGACTTTAAATAAAAGAAAGTAAAGGATTTGTTTATTATATAGTCGTACCATAAAATAAGACCTCTGTAGTTCTTATTTACAAGTTTTATAATAAAATTGTTTATATGATTTTAATTTACTCTTTTACTTAATAATTATACTTTGTACTTTAACTATACTTTTAAAACAATAAACCATAAAAGAACGTAAGAGGTGTGGGGTTGTGAGAGAAGGAGGGGGGGCGGGGAGAGAGCAAATATGAGTGTGTCGTGAATGGTGTCACCACTGCGACTGGGTCCTGCAAAGGGGTGGCCACTTCTTGTTTTGGGTACTTATGTACTAACTGTATTTCCTGAAAGTACAGCCTTACTAGCTTATATGTTCTACAGAATCTTGGCTGCCTGGTGTGCTAATTACAAGGCATGATTGTGTCGTGCATCTCCTTATCTGTGTTCTCTTTGGCAGCTCAGTTTTTTTCTCCTGTGACCAGCATTTGGTGTGTGGTAGGACTTTTTTAAACCCCCTTGGCCTGGAAAGTTACTTCTTCCACCATTGAGCCAGAGCTGAAAATATCTCCGTTGCATAGCACCATAACACTTCCTGCAAAATACCACTGCATTCCCACCCTCCGCCCAGCATAGGCTGTGCAGCACTGCCCCGGGGCGCAGAGCGCAGCTAGAAAGGGAGGTCTTTTCAGAGAGCTCGTTGTGTGAATCCACTGTGTTTATGGAGAACCAACCCGCATTGCCCCTCGGCTGCCTCAAAAACAAGTTAAAAAGAAAGACGTAGTGGAAAAGAATGATCCAGGGTTTGTATTTAGCCAGGTAATTGGAGAGAGAATGTGACAGTCACGTGGGAGTGACTCACCTGTGACAGACCCCAACTTCTTGTCAAAGCAGAGATGTACAGAATTAAGTTTTTGCATCTTTGGATTTTGAGAACCTGTGTTTAAGGACATTTCCCTTTGGTTAATGAAGATGTGGTTTAATTTAAACCAAAAAAGGTTTACAAGCTGAGAGCAGGTGAGCAGTAGGTGATACTTGAGTGTAGAGAGTGCTCAGATCTCATCAGAACAAGCTATTCATGATTCAGTTGTAGGTTTAACGTTAGCATTTATTTGCATGCTCCCCCCCATGTTTATTTGTAACCTGATATGTAGGTCACTTGTATCTCAAACTTGAGAGAAAACATTCAAATACTTTCTTCAAATGCAGTCTTAGGCAAAGTTCAAAAGAAGTATAACGCTATGCAGTAGAGATTTTATATTCACATGGGGGAAACAAGTTAGGGTTGAGGTACCTGAGATTTGCCTCTTTAATTTGGCAAAGGTAGGAGTCAGCGCCAGGGGCAGTTAAACAAAGGAGTTTGGAACTCAGTTTGAAAACCACTGATATAAGTGATCCGTACGGTTCTTCTCGAAAGTGTTATATTTTGGCGTCTTATACAAGGTTTAATGCCTATGAATATAACTTATTTTAGTTTATTTAGTGAATGAAATCATAACTTCTGACATGTTCCCCAAGTTACTTACATTGTCTTGTTAACTTTGGTTTTTCATGGTGAGTTCTTGGAAGAGTTGGTCCTCTTTTGCATGATATAATATTGTGGTTTATGTGGTAGAAATTTGTTGTCTGCTGCCCACAAAAATTTACAAACTTCTAGAAGTTCATTATCTGCAGGGTGTTATGCAGTGAGTTCCTTCACAGGAGATGGTTATATCCAAATAGAAAGAGTACCATTGAAACTGGCTCTTAAAGGATTGGAGGGTCTGAGGGAGGTGTGGCCAAGGCACTACCCAAGGTTCTCTCCAGCTCTGAGACCCTGTGAGTGAATGAAGAAGAAGGTGGAAGGGCCCTGGAAGTGTGTGCTCCCCAGGGTGCACACACTTAGAGGGAGCAGCATGAACACTAGAAGAGAAGCTTCTGGAGAGACCCAGAGAGAGAATGGACCTATTGCTAGTGCTGTTTGGCATTATAATAAGCTCCTTATCTACCTTGTGTCTCAGTTTCCTCAACTGTAAACTGGAGGTATCTGTTCACTGGAGGGACGGTGTGTTGATGAAGGACACTGGTTCAGAACAGACCTGGCAGAACTAGCTGCCTTGTGAGCGATAGCTGCAGCCCCTACATTGTCAGCACCTGCACGTTCCTCCTCACTTGGGCGGTGGGAGGAGCAGGTGGTAGAAAGGCTTTTGAAAGGTGAAGGTGTTCTACAGTTCTGAGGTGTCATTCCGTGTTATCACTTCCCCCGTAAACCGCCAGGTTTCCCAGTTCCTACTGATTTTGAAAGTCATGTAAAATTACTTTCTTTAACACTGGTTTTCTTCCCAGATTAGGATTTCAAAAGTATGTCTTCCGTTGACACCGCTTTCTTTTCTCACTTGTACCCCGCACTGTGTCCCCAGGTAAAGCAGGCCGAGTGCAGCGAGGCGTCCCGCGGCCGTCATGCCGTTCCCCTTCGGGAAGTCCCACAAGTCCCCGGCGGACATCGTGAAGAACCTGAAGGAGAGCATGGCCGTCCTGGAAAAGCAGGACATTTCCGACAGGAAGGCAGAAAAGGTGTGTGCTGGGCACTGTTTTACTTTCTTCAGTCTTTTGAGCAGGAGCAAATATAAAACATTATGGTGTGATTTTTAAAAATTAATCAATCCCAATTTGGTTTTTTATAGTTCTAAAGTGATGTTTGCTTCTGCTTAAACACCACATTTTCACCTGTACTGCTGCCTACCAAACATATTTCTAACTTTTTTCTCCATTTTTCATTTAAAGTTCTCAAGTTTGTTTAAACTTTGTTTTTTCATTGTTACAATAATTTACCCAAGTCCTCAAGTCAGTGTTTCCACCGCAGTCTCTCCGGGGAGGCACCTCCCTGGGTCTCGGGGCCTGTGCTGGGCGCCTTCCTCTCCACCCAGCACAGCCCCACACCTGCCTTTGTCCCCACCGCCTCCCACTCTTCCCCGAGGTGCCGTCTTCCACTGCGCTGCAGGAACCCTGCCTCCTGAGGGGTTTGCAATTGGGTTCCGACTTCCATTCCTCCTTTCTGAAGGCTCTCTTGACCTTTCCTGTCTCTCAGATCTCTCCCTTGCCTTCAGCTTTCCGCACAGGCACCTTGAGTGGCACCTGAGACCCTTTGTGACCTGATCTCTGCCTCTTTGGGTGAATTTCCACCCTTTGTTCTTTGTGTTCTGGCATCTCAACTTGCCCCTGTTCACTGAAAGCAAGTAATCAGCTCTACTCTTTTTCATGCCTTTTTATTTTGTTTTTGTTGTTGTTTTTTTATAAACTGTATGGTGATAAAAACTACAGTGATGGCTAGTATAGTTTGGTGTCACTGCCTTGACTGGCTAAGTGGTCCCTACCATCAGTACAAATGACGGTGTAGCGGAAAGGGGCAAATAATGTGTTGCTTTGACATGAAAACAGTTTTGACCCCACAGACCCTTTGAAAGGGTCTTGGGGACCCCAGGGAGTCCACACTTTGAAGTCTACTGTGATAGTTAATGAAAGGTGTTGGGGGGTGGAATTGGGTAGGGGGAGTATCTCTGTTTAGATGGGTTGTATGGGGGAAGTCTTACCGAGGAAGTGGCCCTGAGCATGAATCTGTAATGAGAAGAAGCTTAATCTCTCACGGCGTTCGTAGCATCTGCTTGGCTAATAACATCAGTGGTTTTCAGCCAGGGGCAGTTTTGCCCTCCACGGGGACATTTGAGAATGCTTGGAGACATTGTTGCTTATGACACGGGGAGGCTACTCCCGGCATCCAGTTAGTACAAGCCAGACAAGCCACTGAACGTGCGACAGTCCGCCTCCACCCCCCACCCCCCAAATGATCTGACCCAGAATGTCAGGAACTCCTGCTGTAAACCGAAGCACACATATATCTTCTGCTCTTAGGATAAATGAAGCAAAGAAAAAGAAAAGAATTTTTTAAAAGTAAATTTTCTTATTTTAAATTTTATGTATTTTTAGAGAGGGGGGAAGGCAGGGAGAGTGAAGAACAGAAAGGTCACACGCCCCCAGCTGGGGACCTGGCCCACGACCCTGGAAGCAGTAGCCAGTTCAAATGGTAATGAGAGGGAACTGGGATCCGAAAACAACGGAAAGATAAAAATCTCATCACTAAATTAAAAACCATTAAAAAACCACTTTGATATCACACTAAAGACTGAAAAGCCAAAGGTAGTTTCATGAAAACCAGAGTGTTTACACTTGTTTCTTGGCATTGCTCTTGAAATTCTACCCAATGTATATAAAAATGGTTTAGAAATAAAAGCTATTGCAAATAAAGAGAAGATTACAATGTTGGGATATTCATATTTCTTTACAAGACACAGAAAATCAGTGCAAAAATAAGAGTTCACCAGGGCAGCTAAATAAATAGGGAATCCATAGCTTTTATAAATACCAATCAAAGCCATCTAGAAATTGTAATTTTTTTAAAAGGTATTTCATTTACAATAGTGCCAAAAAAGTATTAGATGTCTGAGAATACTTTTATCAGGAGTATGTAGGAACCTGTTGTGTATGAAAAAACTGTAAAACTTTACTCAGAGGCACAGTGGACACCTGGCGCGTGTTAGCAAATGGAACACAGTTAAGATGCCATTGCTCCTCAAATTAATTTTTATGCTTAAAGCAATTTTATTCAAATCACACAGGATCTTTTTGTAACTTGACAAAAAATGATTCTGAAGTTCTGGGAGAGTAAATAAAATAGCATAAAGTTGTAGTGGGATCTAAGGAATATGACTTCTGCTTTGTTTTGAAGCGAAACACACCCTTTATTCGGCTTCTTGTCGCCCTCTCCATAATGGTTAATGTAACTCCATCCCTCTTGTTGTTCAGGCCAAAGTCTTAGGTCATCTGTGACCCTTTCCACACTTCCCAAGCCCAGTTATGAGCAAATCCATTCGCTTTGTCTCGGGGTGGGGGGGGGGGGGGAGAAAGCCAGGATCTAACTATTTCTCTCCATTGTCTTAGTTAGCAGCCTGATCTGGGCTCTCGTTATCTTTGCTCTGGATTACTGCAGTGACCTTCTGGGGGGTCTGTCGCCCTTGTCCCCCTGGAACTATAGTGGTTCTTTTAAAACACAAATCAAATGTTACTTTCCTCCGTGTAAAAGGCAAAGTCCTTACAGGGCCTCGAACTGAGTCCTTCAGCCAACTCCTGCCCATGCTGGTTTTTGTAAGGCTCATGAGCCAGGAATGGTTTTTACATTTTTAAAGGGTTGGTTTAAAAAGCAAAGAAGAATATGCAACCTTATGTGGCCTAAAAAGGGTAAAACTATTTACTGTCTGCCCTTTTTCTGAAAAATAAATGCCAACCCATGGCCCCCATAGTTCCTTCTCTTAGTGCACCCCTTACATTGGCTTCCTTTTTTCACACCCTTATCTTTAAGTTTTTGCATTTGACAGTTCCCTTTGTCTAGAGTGTTATGCCCTCAGCTCGCTGCTTAGCTTACTCCCTTATTGTGTTCAAGTGTTTGCTCAGTGTCTTTCTTGACCCAACCACCCCTATTCGAAATGCACCCCTGCCCCCCAGCTTTCCTACCCCCCCCATCTTGTTCTGTGGTGTTTTCCTGTGTGGCAATTAACATTTAAAATATACTCAGTAGTATTTGTTCCATATTTCCTCCACGTGTTAGAATAGAAGCCTTCCAAAGACAGGGCTCAATAACTATTTGCATTTATTGAAAATGGAGTACACAGCAGAGTTCAAATGAAACACTATCACCTGTCACCTCAGGATTCTTATTTTATGATGGTGGCCAAGCGTCACATTCCCTTTTAGTACTGCCACCCACCACCCACAGAAGCAGTGGCCTAAATGACCTTCTGAAGAGGTCTGCTCTGTTGGCCCTGCTATCTTCCAAGTACAGATATGATGAGTTAGCACTACACACCAGTAGAATGGCTAAAATTGATCATACTGACTGTACCGATTATGAAGTCACTGGCTGGTGATTGTGCAGAGCACCTGGAACTGCTGGTGCGGATATGAGATGATACAGCCACTTTGGGAAGAGTTTGACACTTTCTTAAAAAGCTAAACTTATATCTAGCCATTTCATTCCTAGGTGTTTACCCAACAGATCAAGCAATAATGTCCATACAGAGACTGGTGCATAAGTGTTCATAGCAACATGATTTGCAATAGTCCAGAACAGGAAAGAGCCCAGGTGTGTAAATAAATCAGTTGGAGTGCACTGGTAGTTCAGAGTACTACTCAGCAATAAAAAAGAACCAACTACTGCTGTACACAGCAGCACGAATGGACGTCAGATAATGAAATCTTGTGTGAAAGAAGCTATAGACTCTAAAGGGAATATAATGTATGGTTCCATTTGTACAAAACTGGGTGGAAACCACTATAACAGAAGCAGATCAGTAATTGCTTTGGGTCTGGCAGGGCTGTGGAGTATTAGAGCAGACTTGGTGGAGAAGTGGACTACGGAAGACTCTGGTGGTGATGGCTATGTTCACTATCTTGATAGGTCATGGGTGTGTAAGTAAGCCCCAACCCATCAAAACGTACTTTTTAAATATGTGGGGTTTGTTTTATGTGAATTATAACTCAATGAAGAGAGTAAGAAGAGACTACCCATGAACTAATAACTGAGATAATGGCGGCTTGGAAAGCACAGGTATTGGTCCCGAGACTAGATCATGTAACGAAGCCCCCGGAAAGACTGTTGAAAGCCTAGGTGGATATAATCGAAATACACTACTTAAATTCAAAGTGGCCATCTCTGTGTCGACAAGTCCATACCTGATGGTTTGGAGAAACTAGAGTGGGTTGAGAGGGGTGTGACCAGGCCGACAGAAATCCAAAGGTCTGCCATGGGAAATAGTTGAAAGAACTGGAGATATGAAGTAGAGAAGAATAAAAATTGAGCTTTAGACCTCTTAGCGAAATGTTTTTAGGGGATCATCTAAAAAGAAAAGGGAAAGGTTGCAGATGGTGACGAGAGATGGAATTAAAACCTGTGAGCAGAAGTAAAGCAGGGAGTCCAATTTCATCCCAATATTAGGAAAAATAATAGGTGGATGTTGGCTTCCTTGGTAGATAGCGAGTTTCCTGTCTCTGGGTGTGTATCTTTTGGGCTAGGGCACCACTCAGGTCTTGCAGAAGGAATTCAAGCTTGCTCAGTTGATTCATCCTTACATTGATACAACACTGTATTTTGCAAGGTGCCTCCATCTTATTTTGAGGAAGAATAATTTCCTGTTATTCTCAATCCACATCAAGAAAGCTTCTTTCCCTAGGTAAATCATAATAGAGTCAGAGGTGATATTCGTTCCTAACTGCCAAACCCATAGTAAAAATAATGCCTATTTCTGCTTTATTCATTATATCCATGGTCATTTTCTCATTCATTTCCCTTGATGTTATAGACAAATGATAAATAAAACAGCTTATTCCTTTATTTGTAATATGTTGGTACTTTTATTTGTTTTATATGGTGAACAGTTGCCATATTAAGAATTGTATGCAATCCAAAGAGATTAATCCTTAAGAACTATGCCAGACCTTTTTAAAAGAATTTGAAAACTACTTCC